TTTGTTATAATTTAAAAAAAAAATTTATAATGAGTGTTTTTCTTCCATATATACATAAATGTTTTTATGAAATTGTAGATTTTTTTTTTGTTAAAGATATTCTGATTTATTTTCTGAGCCAAATGAGAAATTTTGATTTAAAAAAAACCTTTAATTTTTAAAAGAGAAACTCTTCAGTTGGCTCAGTTCCTTGTGCCTCTGATCATTTGTCATCTTTAACATTTACTAAACAGCACTAAGTGCACTTCATGAAATATTTTTTAACCTTTTGTTTCTCCTCCCTGAAACAAGCACAGATCTGGGGAGGTGATGGTGAAGAATATCATATCAGATAGTAAGAACATCACTCACTGGGATGAACCAGAAGCCCATCGGTGTCGGTGCCCTGTCTCATGCTGAAGGTACTTAGTGAGAACTAAGGTGATCTCCTCCTGTGCCCTCAGAGCCATTAGCAATGAGAGTTTTTGGGACTTTCTAGTTAACATCAGTTTTCTCAGAACTTGGGTGTGAATGTGCCTGGTCCTGGCGATTTGATGTGCTTTAAAATCTTTTTTATTGATGATTCAGTGGCTGATCTACACAGAAGGTGTCCTTGGTGTAGTAAAATCCCTGAGTTAGTGAATACTTTTATTTTTTTTATGTCTTTCGAATGCTCCATCATGTTTGGCTAACATGTTTGCAAACCTTTGGCTGTTAGCTATTGGGCTAACAGTCTGGGCTCTGAGTCTCTGGGCTGCGGGTCTGGTGCAAAGCTCCGCTCCGCTCCATGGGAGCCTGGGAGCCCCGTGCGGAGCAGGACCACAGTGCTCTGCAGTTTTTACCCTGATGAAGCCTTGCCTCATAACTCGTCTGCTTAGCTAATGAGAGAGGATTTGCAGGTTAGAGCAGGAGTTGGAGGCTTTGTTTCCAGTTGGTCCAAGTCCCGCCACAGTTATCTAATAATTGAAAATTGGTGAGGCTGTACCAGCATAGACAAGTCAACTGCGTACAGCAGTTTACCTGGCGTTAATGTTTGAGAAAGAAATGGGTGCTTCCAGCACAAACGGCAACTCTTCTCATCTGCCGGGGCTCTCCTAGGCGCCCCGGGCTGAATCCGAGCTGAGCGCTGTGCTGGCCTCATTGCCGGCTGTGGGGTCGCTGTGCTGGCCTCATTTCCGGCTGTGGGAGCCTGTCGTGGCACCACAGTGAACGGCCTTCATCCGTTCACCACCGCTGCGCACATCCAGATCTTTATGGGGAAAAGGCTGGTTTCCAAACCTGCACCTCTGTCATGACCACGTCTCCTGGGCTGCTGGTGATCGTTGAGTCGTGGGAGATAGGGGTGAGAAAGTGACTCCTGGCTCAGCCCATGGCGAGTCTGGGGGCACGCTGGGACCTCGTGCCACGGATGAAGGGAAGGCAATGAAACCTCCTGTTGAGGCACGTCAGGATAGGAGGAATTGCTAAGGCTACACATTACGTCTGGTTTTTTGCTGCGGGGAATATGTATAACAAAGCAATTGAACCGTCTCTTCAGGAAAACGTAGATTGTAAAAGCAGACTTAATTTTGTCCTTCACTTTTGTACTAAAGAGATGATTTCTGAAACCATTTCCCAGCTCGCAACATATCTCTAGGCATTAAAATGTTGTGAATTTGCTTGTCATTACCAATATTTTCTTTGACTGAAGCTATTGAAACAAAGTAGCCTTTTTTTTTTTTCTTTAACCTTCAATCTTGCTTCTAAAAGAAGTAGCTCTCTTTTTCTTTCTTTCTTTCTTGGTCAAATATAAAAATGATGATAATTTGAAATATTGCTTTAGAATAATTGCTTTCCTCCCTCTTTTGTATGACAACAGAAGCTTGGCCTGATCTTAAATCAGATGCTGGCAGGCAGAGGGCTCTTGACAGCCCTGCAAAATCCTTTAGTTACAAGTCGGCTTTAGCCAATTCTTTATTTGTAAATGACAATTTCTACAGAAAAATGTATGCTTGGGCTTCAATTTCAGAGTCCTAGATTGCAGCCAGGAAAATAATTGTGAATTTTTACAGGTTTGGTTTTTTTTTTTCCTCTCTTTTTTACATTAAAAAAAAA